GTACATTAGTGTTTCATCCTGAGGCTGATTTTGTAATCCTTAATCAAACAATATGGAAAGGTTTGGTATTCATGAGAAGATAACATAGCAATCATGATCATCTGTTGGTTTCTTCCTAGATCTTGCTTAGAATTATCCAATTTAACTTATGACATTGAATGAATTCCTAGTATGCTAAGAGTTACCATGAAGTTCAAATGCTTTAAGAAACTCCCTCCATTTATTTTGCTCAACTTACAAGTAAGCTTCATGATTTACTTACAAGCAGAAAAAGGCTTCTTCTTGGAAATCCACTTTTATTTATTAATATAGAAACTGAAACAGCCTTTCTCTCCATCTTCTGTGATCAGTTATTGGTCCTACCTTTTTCTACATCTTGAACTTTATCAAATTTTGATTTTAGAATGATAATTTAAAAAAAAATAATGTAAGGTTTATTCCCAATAATTGGAAAAATAATCAAATTTTTTCTATCTAAAGTTGTTAAACAAATTAAAGATAAATAAAATTAAGAAAGGAATCGGCTTCAATCCCCAAACAGAAAATTTGGCTTTGTATTAGAAGTGGTTGAATAAAACAAATTTGCTCTAATTAAATAAAATGGCAATTGCTTATTAATTTAATTGAATTCTAAAATATTTTTAATTATGTATTTGTATTTGCTGAAAATTAATAACATTCGATAAGATAATTAAACAAATAAACTTTAAAGTCTCTTTGAAGTGTTTATAATAAACACTATTTGAATAGTAAATTTAATAACAGAATAATTTTTGATTTCTAAAACAATTTAATTAAAATTTAATAAGACTTAATAATCCCTTTGATTCTTTTGAGATTCAGAGTAATTAAAAAAATGCATTATCTATATAGTGATTTAATCAAATAGCTTTGAAAAATTCACTATTAAATTAATAAGAAAAATATTTTGATTAATAATTTTAATAGAATTAGAAAATGTCAATAGAGTAAGCAGTATAAAGTAAATTAGAATGTTGTATGAACGAAATTGAATAACATTTAGATGTATTTGTTTTTTTTATTATTATTTTTAGTCATCATTTGATAAGATCAATAATTTGATTGATTAGTTATTCATTTTAGATGATCCAATTAAAAAAAATTTTAGTGCTAATTTAGAAGTATAATTACCAAAAATAAATGAATTCCATTCAATTGGTTAATCTATGGTTTAATTCAATATGATTGAAGAATTGATACAATTAATCAATTAAAAGATTAAAGAAAAATCTGAAATTTAATAATTATAATTACATTAGGATTATTAATAACCATAATTAAAAGACAAAGACAATAAGATTAAATCTCAATCTTAAATTAATTTAAAACCATTTACTTATGAAATTATTTAAAATAATTCAATTAAATAATTAAATTGTTGTCGTGCCTTTGCTTTTAATAAAGATTGTTCAATTATTGCCATTGGATGTAATAGTTAAATAATTATACATTAATTTAAATAAGGAATTTAATAATAAATACAAGTATTAGATTAAGATAAAGGGAGTGTTCATACATTAAATTTTATGAAAAAATCAAATTAATTGATATCTGGATATTAGCATAATACTATTATAATTTGGTCAATTAATAACAATAATTAATGGGTTTGTTCATAAACAATTCAAGAACATAATTCTTAAATTAATTGTTTAATTGTAAATAATAATGAAGATTTATTTATATCAGGCAGTCATGATAAGACTATTAAATTTTGGATTAAGAAAAATGAATGGATCTGTTAATAAACTATCACGGAACATCAAAATCAAGTTAATTCAATAAGTTTAAATGACTCACAAAATAAAGTTATATCTTGCGGAAAAGATAAATTTATATTAATAATTGAATATTCAGAATAGAATAAAAATTGGATTGTTATTTAAAAAATTAATGTTGATTGTTTTGGAAATCGATTATGCTTTATAGATGATAATTTATTTACATTTAAACCAATAGAAGGCAATTTGATGTAAGTCTATGAAATGAATAATGTAAGTAAATCATTCAATAAAACTAAAGATGTTATTGTTAATCAAGGTAATGATTATTATATGTTCTTTCCATAATAATATATAAATTCAAAATAATTATTAGTGAATCGACACGATAAATATGTTGAGTTTATAAGAAAGACAGAAAATGGTCAATTTGAAATTTAGTAATCCATTCAGTTTAATACAAAATGCATATTTGGATCATTAAGTGATGAGGGAGACTATTTAATAACTTGGGAGGACTCATCAAAAGAAATATAAATTAGAAAATACAGACAAGAATGATAATTATAATATTCAAATATAAATTATTATTATATATTAAATATGAATTAATTAAATCAAAAAATTGAATTAAACAACAAATAAATTTATTTCCTTAATTTTCTCATTTTTGAGAAGGTAAATGATTATGAAAACTATTTTTTAGAAGAATATCAATTTTTTTATTTTTTATAATTTATTAGTATAAATCTAAAATTTGGAATACAGATTATATTTTCAAGATTTGAATGAAATACCTTTTTAATTTTTATTGCGTTATGTACCTTGGTTATATCAAAAATTTTCTTCTTTAACTTGAAATTTTGATTTTCATCTTTTATAAGTTTTTTCTCCAAAATTATCTTCTAATCCAAGTTTTATTAGACCATTCCATAAATTATTCAAGTAAGTGGCTTTAGAGGTCCATTTTATTAAATAAACAATCTCATTGAGAAAACAATCATTTAACCATATTTTCTCATGATCATTCTTCTCTATTATTTTGATTTTACTCCTTACTTATCTATCCTTAATTCATGTTTTATTAAATCTAGATATTCAAATTAAAGTCAAAAATGTTATTCATACAAACACCAGCATGGCTCCTACTTGTTAAGCAATAATGCCGAAGGGCATCTTTCCATCCTTGAGAAGTCTATTGTGCAAATAGGACAAACAGTCATTTTCAGGTTCTATTTTTGGTAAATATAACCATCAAAAGTTATGACAAACATGAATCTACAGAATTAAGAAAAATGATGCTTCTGTCATCCCCTTTCTTGACCTTCCATATCCATATTTGGTTCTTACCTGTTGTCATTCTGACCATAACGATCTAATCTTTTACT